TTTTAATCTTTGGTTTTCAGAAATTTGAATATGATGCTCCTGTATGCAGATTGCTTTGCATTTTTCCTCTTTGGGCTTTTTTGGGGTTCTTGATTCTGTTCTATTACTACTGCTATTACAACGTTTTATTCTTTCTGCTGTTTGCCTCTTTTTCCTCTTCATCTCTTTTTTGTCATTGTTGTCCCATCTTTTCTTTTCTTTCTTGACTACTTGAGAAGTTTTGGAGCCTTATTGTTTTTAAATATTCCTTTTGCTTATCTTTTCTGTTGGTGTCTTCTTCTCCTTCTCTTCCTCCACTTCCTCTTTCTTTTTCTTCTTCTTCCATCTTCCTCCTTTTTCCTTCTTCTTTCTTCTCTCTCTTTTTTTTTTCCATTTCTTTGTCCTTCCTTTTGCAAGCTGGGAATTTCTGTTGATCTGCCTTTAGTTTCACTGATTATTCTTTTTTCTTAGAATTTATCTGTTTTTTGACCTATTTTTGTTTCAATGTTTGTTTTTTCTTTCAAATTGTGTAATCCTATTTTTATCTTTTTATAGTTTTATTTTCTGTTGAAATTCTTTATTTGCCTATTAAATTGCACATTTCTCTGAACTTTTTGAATGTGTTTTCTTATAACACTAGAGCATATTTACAACAGCTGTTTTTAAATCTTTGATTTTGAAATGCAACATCTAGACCCACTTGCAATTAGTTTATTTTAAAACCACACCCCAACACTGATAGTGTATCACACTTTTCTATTTCTTTTTTGTCTGGCTGTATTTGGTATGGAATTGAACATGTGTTGTGTTTTATGCCCCTAAAGTGAAAGTAATTAAAATTCAACAAAGAGACTTGCTGTTACAGTCAGTAGTTGATAATTTATTAAAATATTGCATGGTAAGATTAATAAGAACGTATTTAATATACTCTGTAACTTTATAGAATTGTCTTAACTTTAATGAGAAATCTTACAAAAAGATTTCAATGGATTAACAATATTGAGTTCATAGATATAAAGATAGTAATACTTAGTATAGTTTATTTCTTATTTGTCATGCTGTTACATTTCTTGTTATCTTCTTTCCATTATTTACTGCTTGGGCAACCTTGGGCGGGCAGGATATTTACTCCTGAACCACTCATCTACTAAGTATACTGCTATACTATCATAGAAAAAAATATCAGTATTAGTCATTAATAATAGTGACCTGTCTAAAGTTGGCTAATGTAGACATTAACATATGTAAAAAGTGCTTTGTAAAGAATTAGATGTCAGTACTGGGGATATAGTTTAGTGGCCCAGTGCCTGCCTGGCAAGTATAAGGTAGTGAATTCAATTCCCAGTTTAAAAAAAAAAAAAAAAGTCAAATATTGAATCCCAGGTATAGCTTAGGATAGCACTTTTTTAGTGAAATAAGTATTTCAGAAGTACTAATTTTAACTTTTTAAGTGTAAAATTGTGGAATAGATTAAAGAAAAATCAAGAAACAAAGGAGCAGTGACCACAAGTGTGAGTATGAAAGATAAAATCTGTGTGAAAGAAGTACTTATTTCTATTCTATGACTAGATCATCAGGGAAGTCTTAGGGGCAAAATTGATACTTCTATTTATGTATTACTAGCACCTTACACATTATATAATGTTATACATGAAGATTAGAGGAGCTGGTTTTAGAAACAGACTGTCTAGTTTAAAATCAAGCTTCGACATTTGCAATGTGTGTGACCTCAAGAGAGTAACTTTGCTTCTTTGATCTTCGTCATCAGCAAAGTAAGAGTAATAATGACTAATAAAATCATGGAAAGCTGGATGTGGTGTCGTATGCTTATAATCCCAGCACTGTGGGAGGCTGAGGCAGAATGATTGCACATGCTGTCTCAGTTTTGGTAATTTAGAAACTTAACGAGACCCACTCAAAATAAAAAAAATAAAAACAAACACATGTTAGTGAACCCATAGTACAGTCTTCTAGATTTTGTTTAACTCTGATTAGCCCTAGTGTGGTCTTCTTGTAGTCACTATTGATAGTCTTCTTTTATTCTCTTACGTTCTCTCAGGCTTTTTTGAGCTGTTTTGTGTAATTTACTATTTTGTCCTCAGTATCAGACACGAACATCACATTGATCATTTCTGCAGTATATGAGTTCTATATTCTTATTTTCAATATTTCTATTTGACATCTTTTCAAGAATTCTACATCCTTGTTGAGTCTGTATTCATATTTTGAATTATTTTGGTTAGCTCATCCAGTTTTTATCTATTTCTCCAAAATTCATCATGGGCTTATTGAGTATAATAGCTATATACTTTTGATACTTTTTTTCTGATCTCATCTTTTTTCTGCATCCCTTATGAGAACTTTTCATAGATTTTTGCTACCTAGTATTTGTTTTCTTTTCTTTTTGTGACATTTGTTCTGCCTTGAGATTGTTAGTGGGGTTTAAAGATGTATTTCCAAGATTTCTCCAGTCTCCTACTTATATCTGTGTTTATGATATGTGGTCCCATCTTTCTCTTCTGTGTGTGTGTTAGGGTGTTACTGCAGTTTAATGAGTAGAGAAATAAGAGTTTGTGGCTTGTATGGAGCTTTTTAATAGGATGTTGTCTCTCTCTGAGTAATTTTTAGCTTCATATGGCCAATGCTGATATTTACTCTGTTGTTTACTTTAAGTGATTTTTACTTTGTTTTCCAGAAGATCTGCTTTTATTTGTAACAACATCCACATATTCAATCTTACAGCACTTTTATATGATAATCCTTGCCGTTACTCTTATCCCCTTTATCTATTCTATATGCATATTTATTATTTGTGGTTGCTCTGCAGTGAGGGTGGTGAGGTGAGGTGGGGAGAATGGAAGGTGTTTGTATGAATAGTGTTAGGCACTAAGGGAGAGATTTGGAAGGGAAACTAGTAGTAGATGAGAAATTAAGATTTAGATGGATTTTCGTTTTACTGGAGCACTTTTAATTGGGTTGAACATTTAGTATTAAGAGTTTTCAGAGGATATTTTGTGGGGCAAGGATAAGAAGTTGCAGAAAGAGATTTCACTTTGTGATTAAGGAAAATTGTGCTTCTCAGAATTTGCTTATAGAGAAGAAGACAAGTTACATGGGATATGGAAGAGCCAAAGGCTCTTCAAGGAATTTTACTTGTAAATATGAGTGATTGAGGGGCTGAGTATGGTAAGTTTAAAACTTGGAAGGTGGAGTCTCCTTATTTAGAAAGAGAATAAAGATATATTTTAATAATATTGCCTTGGGGTTTTGAGGTGAAGAAACTAAAGAGCTGAGATGAGGAATAGGACATTTATCTATTAAATCTGAGCCAGTGAATGAACAAATATATAAAAATGACAACCTAGTATACACATGAAACCATAAAAGAACATAACATAACAAGATGTCTGATGGCAACATAAATTAGATATTACAGTGATAAATTACATATGTGATTTTCAAGCAGCAGCTTTGCCAAAATATCTGAGTACTCATAACCCAATTTACTATTCTCATCCCTCACTGCAATTAACTCAGATTAAGGACCTTTTATACTAGGTTTCAGGCATTCTTGTAGAATTTCAGTCTGAGTTCTTGAGTTAAGAACTCTCACTGTCCTTTTCTCTGGGTGAAAATGTGGATTTGGTAGACAAGTTCACTGGCATTAAGTTGTCTGCTGAGTCATGATTATTTCTGTGCAATCAATTGAACTACAACAGTAAAGGTTAGTCCATTATAGTAGTATCCATCAAGGCTAGTTGAGAAATAAACTTTGAGCAATGGGAACACTGCATCAATGTGAGATACCAATCTGGTATAACTCAGATTGACAGTGGTGTCTTGATGGCAGGAACCAAGTCTGTGATCACCAGGCCCTGCTTTTCAGCAGTCTCTTGTTAACCTTCCTTTCCTTGTCCACTCTGAAAACTTGGCAATGTGAAACCATCAAGGGGCTGTTGTAGGACTGAGTTTCACATAGCCAGTTCTTTCCCATGATGGCTTCCTCTCCAGTTCTGTGCAACTGTATCCCAATCTTCTCCCTATCTGTGATTCTCTAAGATTCTCTGGTTCCTGATGCAGTTCTCTATGAGCAGACAAGTTACTACTTTCAGTTTGCATCCTGGCTGGCAGCAGGACCGTCTGTGGTGTGGGTCATCTCTTCTGTATCATTTAATCATATTTTCTTCTCCTCTGTCCTGTCTATCCTCTCTTCCCTTTATTTCCTCCTTAAGCCAATATCCTTCAGATTCCAGACATTTTATCCTGGAGAAACTGAACTGGCACTCATTGCTTTGCCATCTTGTCTTCTCTGCTGATATTCTAGATTCAATTTTGTGCTCCATCAGTGTCATATTTTAGGAGATAGGAATTTAACTTTCTTAATACTCTAAGGGCCAGGATGATAATGCGCACAATATGGCAACATACATATTTTGATTAAGATAGTATTTAATATTTATCATATTATGCAAAATATGTAACTATGGTTCATAAACATTGTTTATAGTGAGCCATTGTGCAACTTTTCTTTTTTTCTTTCTTTCTTTCTTTGATGCTGGGGATCAACTCATGATCTTGTGCTTGCCAGTCAGGCTTATACTGCTGCGCTAAATCCCTGGCTCTGTACAGCTTTTCTTATTTACAGTAATTTTGTTTTTTCCCCATAGTCCTAAGGTTCTCTATGAATTTTAGGGTGGCTTTGTCTAGTTCTGTGAAAACTGACATTAGAATTTTGTTTAAACTTATTTACATGATCTAATTTTAAACTGTTCCCCTGAAAATATAGTGCATATCAAAATAAGGTTTTTACATAGTTGAGTTTAAATTCTTGATAACATTAAATGAGTAAAAATGATATTTATAGTGTATTTAGAAATTTTTGCTCTTACTGTTCCTTTCTAATGGTTCTCTAGAAGTTGTTGGGCATGTAATACTTTTGAAGTTTTTCTTTTTTATCTTTTTTGGAGTGAGATATGTATCTCTGCAAGTTACATATGTTAACTTTCCTTTTTTCTCCACAGGCCACAGAAACGCTATTTAGAATGGGTGTGGCAAGAGGAACCATTACAACATTAAGGAATGGAGAAGTAAGATAAAAATTTTGATACAGTTATTCATTTCTAGTTTGTAATTTTCAAAGCTTAAAATGTGAATTCTTTGGTGCTTTGTGTGACAAATAGAAAAATACTTCATGTAAATAAGATAGAATATACCTGATGCACAAATCTATTTTAGTTCATGGTTTGTGGAATCAGATATTAAATTGAAAGTAAATTGCTGAGTCTGTTAATCTTTGTCAATTTTTTTTACTATTTAAAAAAATTATTAATAACAACTAATACAAGTCAGGTGTGGTGTGATCTTATTACTCCAGAGACAACAGGATTACATAGTCAAGCCCAACCAGTTCAACCTAATAGCTTAGTGAGATCTTGTCTGAAAATTAAAATGAAAGGAGAGGCTGTTATAGCTCAGTATGAAGGACTTGGGTTTAATCCTTAGTATCTTATTTCTTTTGTTTTATGTGTATAGAGTTGATATTTATTTCTTAGAATAAAATAATATGAAATAATGATTTTTTTTCACATTTAGAAAGGAAAGAATTTTGTCTGTTTCTTATTGAGGTGGTATTAAAATGTAGATTCTGAGGTTTGACTCTCTAAAGGCTCCTGTCGATTCTTTAAAAAATATTTGTCACTGAAAAAGCTTCCATTTCAGTGACCTAATTACCTAATTCAAATGCCTAATTATTATTGTCCTTTTATTTATCTGTTTCTTCACTGGCATACTACATTTAGGTTGAGGTGGAATGTAATTTATATTGCTGTGTTCTTATTTCTATTCTACTAACAGATACTTAAGGATAAACTATATGGTACTTACTATTCTGAGATTAAGTTGTTACTGAATGCAGTATTTATAATTCAATACCCTAAATATTTATTAGTAGCTATCAGTGACTAAGGAATGAATTGGAATTGTATTACTGTGTGTTTGTATATTTGACTGGTTGATAGTATTCCCTCATTAGGCACAAATGTTTCAGCATTTACAAAGTAATATACCATTAAATATTTAAATTATATTGGCAAATTGCCGTTCATAATTTTAAGCATATATTTTGTTTGTGAAGACAATTGATTCTGTTTTATTCTCAACAAATTGAAGTACATTGCCCTGTGTTGAGAAAAGACAATTTTATGAGTAATAAGATAAAAAATATTTATCTGATTTGAGGTTTGAAAAGGAATTTCAGGTTTTATGAATTATTAGTGAAGTTTTGAATGCTGTTACACGAAGATTGGAGAAAAGTGTATTGCTGCTTGATAAGTAAAATAATTTGCTTGCACTTCCAGTTCACCACTGCAGCACTGAGTTAAGTGTCGGGGAGCTGGCAAGTGGTGTTAATCACGTAAGAACAACAGGCACGTCCAAATGGCAATTGGGGCTCTCAGGAAAGGAAATAAGAGACATGGGTGTTAAGGAAACAACTCACATTTTTAAAGGACATTTTCTATTTTTCAAAATCAAGAACAAAGCAACAATCTTTGACAACACAGCAGAAAGGTACTCAACATAAAAAAGAAAGAAAGATAGGGCCACGCAGGCTTCCTTGTGGGTGAGGGACTGGGGGAAGGGGCTTTGTGGGTGATTCTCGTGAGAGCGCTTCACACTGGGCTGCTGCCGAGGAACTTTGTGCTTGAGGAGGGCTGCAAAAGGACACTATCTGTGCTGGGAAGGCCCAAAGGTCAGAGGTAGAAGCTAGAAAGTCTATGCCAGCGAGGTGAAAGAGCTGTGCTGATGTTCCCCAAGCGCCTCATGTGCTGCTGAGAGGGCTTTTGGAAGGGCTGGACATTGAACCTAGGGACCTTCATAGCAAGCTACATCACCAGCCTTTACATTTTTGGAGGGGACAGAATCTCACCAGTTTGAGCTGCCCTGCGGAGGCCTGCTTGGGCCTTGCCAGTGACCTTCTCTTGGTTTCGGGGAGTGCTGCCACTGCGGCCACCGCCTAGAAGAGGAAGTTGCCCTGTGGAGGCCAGTTTGGGCCTTGCTGGCGACCTTCTTTCATTCCAGGGAGCGCCGCTGCTGCCGCCATTGGGACAAAGGAGCTGCCCTGTGGAGGCCTGTTTGGGCATTGCCGGTAACCCTCTCTTGGTCTGGGCAGTGCTGCTGCTGCTACCGTCTTGAGAAGGGAGCTGTGCTGTGGAGAAGGTTTGGGGCTTGTCTAAGCCTCACAGGTGACTTCCTTTCAGCCTGGGAGCTATGCCACCGAGGAGGTGGATGCCTGCACAACATCCGATCCCCTGGAAGGTTTGAGATCCTTGCTCTGAGTACTAGATTAGTCTTGGTGGAATTCGGGCCTGCTTGGACCACGCCTGGTGGCCTTCTTTTAGTCAAGGGAGCTTTGCTGCTGGAGGGGGGAGCTGCTAAGCTTGAGGAGCTTTTAGGCCTGCCTGAGCCTCCCCTGGTAACCTTTTAATCTGGAGGTGTCGCTGCCCAAGGAGGGAGCTATGCTACCAGGGGAGTCCCAGGAGCCCAGGATATAGGAGATAATTTCCAACACACCCAGGGGAAGCTTTGAAACAACAGTTGAAACATGGAAATATAGGAAAATGACAAAATGAAAGAACGAAATGCAATCTCAAACATCCAGCCCATCCCAAGAGGGATGTACATAGGATCCAGGTACATAGAAGAAAATATATGCCATAGGCCTGAAATACCTGAAATAGTAGCAACTGAAAAAAAGAAGCAACTCCAGGAAGCTTTAAAGGAATTCAAAACTAGAAATAATCTCCCAGGTAAAAGAAGAAATGATAAAAATAATGAAAGAGATGCTGAACACATCTAAAGAAGACACAGTTAAAAAATTAGAGGAACAAAACAAAAAGATAGAGTTCTTGGATAAACAATATAAGAAACAAACAAAATACATAAAGCAGATTCAGAGAGACATACAGGAAATCAAAAATTCCATTGAAAGTTGTCAAAACCGCCTCAATGAAAGTGAAGATAGTATTTCATGTCTCGAAGACAAGATTGCAGCTAGTGAACAGGAAAGGAAAGATCTCTTAAAAATAACAAGGAAACAGGAAATAACATTCTAACAGCTGCAAGATGACTCAAAGAAAAACAACATAAGATTGATAGGGATAAATGAAAAAGAAGGATTAACACAAGTAATATCAAGAGGCTATTCACAGAAGTTATAGTTGAAAATTTCCCAAACATGAGATTGGAAACTGACATCCGGATTAGTGAAGCATATAGAACTCCAAATAGCCATAACCAAAATAAAACTACACCAGGACATATAATAATCACCATCCCAGAAATCCAACATAAAAATAGAATATTAAAAGCTATTAGAAGAAACAGATCACCTATAAAGGAAAGCCTATCAGAATCACAGCAGACTTCTCAACACAAACAATGAAGTCAAGAAGAGCATGGAGTGAAGTATTTCAGGTCCTAAAGGAAAATGATTTCCAACCTAGACTGATGTACCTGCAAAACTGTCCTTCAAAATTGAAGGAGAAATTGGAAACTTCCATGACGAAGAACAGCTGAAGAACTTCATGATCACTAAGCCAACCCTGCAAAGAATACTGAAAGACAGTTTAGGTACACTTAGGGAAAAAAAAAAACCACTAAGCAAATCAGACAGTTAAACAGAACAGAAAGATAAAGATAAAGCAGAAAAGATAACATGTCAACAATAAACCAATATATAACGGTTATAACCATTAATGTAAATTGTCTCAACTCAACAGTTAAAAGAAACAGACTGACAGAATGGATCGGGAAACAACATCCAACCATATGCTGTCTACAAGAAACTCATCTAACCCAAAAGCATACTCATAGACTGAAAATCAAAGGATGGAAAACAATACTTCATGCAACAGGACCCTGTCCCCCCAAGCGGGGGTAGCTATTCTGTTTGCAAACCAAGAATGATTAGAAGAGATAAAGAAGGTTATTACATACTGGTGAAAACTTCAAGAGGCAGAGATAATGTTAAATATATGTGCACCAAATTCCACAGCACCCAGTTATACAAAGCAAGTATTAATAGTAATGAAAAATCAAATAAAGAATAGCACAATTATAACAGGAGACTTTAACACAGCATTGACACCAAGGGACAGATCAACCAGACAGAAAATCAGCAAAGAAATAACAGAACTGAATCACACTTGTGAACAAATGGACTTGATAATCATATACAGAGTGTTCCATCCAACAACATCAGAATATACATGCTTCTCAGTGGTACATGGGACATTCTCTAAAATAGACCACACACTAACCCACAGAACATATTTAAATAAATGTAAAAGAGTTGAAATTATCCCTTACATGTTATCAGATCATAGCTCCAGGAAAATAGAAATTAGTGATAAAAGTAACTGGAAAAACCACACACACACATAAAAATTGAATAATACACTCTTGAGCAATCAGTAGCTCACAGGGGAAATTAAAGAAGAAATTAAACAATACCTACAAGAAAATGAAAATACAAATTCAACTTACTTGAATTTGTGGGATGCAATGAAAGCAGTCCTCAGAGGAAAATTATTGCACTGAGTTTCCATATCAGGAAACAGAATGAATACAAATAAACAACCTGTTGCTACACCTCAAACATCTAGCAAAAGAGGAGCAAGTCAAGTCCAAAGACAAAAGAAGAGAGGAAATTATGAAAATCAGAGCAGAAATTAATGCAATAGAGACTAAGAAAACAATCCAAAGAATCAATGAATCAAAGAATTAGTTCTTCGAAAGAATAAATAAAATTGATAAGCCCCTAGGCAACCTTATTAACAAAAGGAAAGAAAAAGCTCAAATTCATGCAATAAGAAATGAAAGAGGCAAAATCACTACAGACTCTGTGGAAATACAGAAGATCATCAACGCCTATTTCAAAAACTTTTACTCCCATAGGTTCGATAACACAAAAGAAATGGACAGATATCTAGAAACATATGAACTACCAAAGCTGGGTCAAGAATATGTAAAACTGCTGAATAACCCAATTTCTATTAATGAAATTTAAAATGTAATTAAGTCCTTACCT